GGGGGGTCGCCTGTCCCCCCTTCCCTGCTTTTGTTCTCACCCCACCCAGCTGTTCCCAGTGTTCCCAGTAAAGCTTCTCAGTGCTCTGCTGTCCTGCTCACTGGAGAGAAGGGGTTGGGGGTGACTTAGGGGGAAACCACGGGGGGAGCAGAGTTTGAGGGGGGCAGAACCGGCCCCAGGATGGATCGGGAATGGGGAACCCCCTGAGTCCTCCACGTGTCACCCCGTACTTGGGGGCGTTTTGTGGGGGCATCTGCACCCCAACAGGGCACCCAGCACACCCCAAGAGGTGCCAGGACCCACGTAAACCCCGTAACAGAGGTGGTGGGAATCCCAAATTCAGTGGGAGGGGAGTGGTACCCCCCAAAAGTGGACGGGGACGAGATGGGACTGAGGAGTGGGGAATGATGGGAAAGGGGTGGGAGAGGTCAGAAAGGTGGGGAAAAGGAGGATGTGGGACATAATCCTGTCCCCAGCTCCCCACACACAGTGGAGCTTCCCAGTTCTCTGCACTCCTGGTGACTGGGGAGAAGGGGGGTGCCTCAAAAATCCTGGCTATGGGAGGGTTTGGACACTCCCTGACCCTGAAATATCACAGAAGAGGGATGTGGACACTCCTAGACTGCAGAAATCCCGGGAACAGGGGGTTTTGGATCATCTCAGAGATAAAAAATCTTGGGAGCAAGGGGGTTTGGACATTCTCAGAATTACAAAATCTTGCAGAAAGGTGGTTTAGGCACATGCGGACCCTAAAAATCATAGGAACGGGGGGCTGGAAACATTCAGAACCCAAAAATCTTGTGAGCATGTGGGTATGGGCTCTTCTAGACCATAAAAGTCCCACGAACCAGGGTTTGGGGCACTGTCAGACCCCAAAATATTGGAAAAGAGGGACTTAGACATTCCCATACCTTAGGACTCCTGGGAACAGGGGGGGTTTGGACATCCTAGACATTATAAATCCTAGAGAAAGATGGTTTGGATACACCCAGACTCTGAAAATCCTGGGAACAGGGTGTTTGGGCAATGTCAGCCTCCCAGTAAACCAGGAACAGGGGGGGTTGGGATGTCCCAGAACCACAAACTCCTGGAAAAGAGGGAGTTATTTACTCCCAGACCCCTAAATTTGTGCGAACGGGGGTGGTCCCAGTTCCTCAAATCTTATAGAAGAGCAGTTTGGGCAACATCAGCATCTAAAAAACACAGGAACAGGTGAGTTGGGGACATTCAGACCCCAAAAATCTTGGCAACACAGAGGTATGGGCTCTCATAGACCGTAAAAATCCGAGGCACAGGAGGATTGGATCAACCCCAGACCCCAAAATATCGGAAAAGAGGAGCTTGGACACGCCCCCAACGGCCCTCAGCCAATCCCAAAGCGCCCACGCCGCCCGCGCCCAATCCCAGCGCGCCGCGCTGATGACTCATCAGTCGCCGGGAAGACGCCTCGAAAAAAGGGCCCCAACTGC